AAAAGTTTGAACCCCCTCAATTTGAGGGGGGATCAAATTTTATAAGGATATAATTATTGAACGCTAATAGACTATTGCGTGAGTTTTAAAATTTATCGATGAATATTTTTTTATATTTAATATTTATCGATGAATTTTTTTTTTTTTTGCGTTTTAACCTTTGAGTCGATAAGACGTATTTCTGTTCGAGCGTAAGTTTTCAGGAGTTTTAATAATTTTTTTTCGTATTCTTTTAATTTTTTTTTCCCTCTAATTCTTTATTTCCATTAACTTCTGGGGTTCCCCAAGGTTCCATCCTGGGCCCTGTTTTGTTTCTTATCTACATAAACGATCTTCCTGACAACCTTTCATCTAAAGTAGCTCTTTTTGCTGATGACTCAACTTTATACTCCTGTCTTGACAAAAAGTCCTCTCTTTTCGATCGCCTAGAACAAGCAGCTGATCTTGAATCCGATCTCACTTCAGTAATAGATTGGGGTTCACAGTGGCTTGTGAATTTCAACTCTAAAAAAACCCAGTTGCTTTCTGCAAACAACTACCGTAATATGGTCAACATTCCTATATTAATGAATGGCAATCCTCTTACTGAGTCGTCCTCTTCAGTGTGATGGGCATTAAAATCACCAACAACAACAATATTGGCAGAGGGGTAAAGAGAGAGGGCATGGTCAATTTGATCAGAGATAACATCTAAGAGAGTGCAATCATGGGAAGAAGGAGAACGATAAAGAACAAAGAGAAAGGCGATAGAGTGAAGAGGTGCTAAGGTTACTTTGGTCATGATTTGGGTTTAATGAGAGCTTGACTCATTCATAGATAGAGCACAGCCTTCTAATCAATGAGCTATGCAGTTGTCTCAGTCCTGTTAATTAACCCTAAGCAGTGACATAGGGCTCCTTATGTGGCCTTGACAATGCACACCAAAAGCATTAACAGGGACACCATCCATGCGCAACATGGCAATGTTAATACTCTGATATTTTGCAGCTGTTGATGGAATCAGCCTCTCTGAGAGCTACCACAGAGTTCGGGAAACCTTACTACTAGCCGGCCTCAGAACCATTAAACTGAGTTTTAAAGCTGTACCCTCATATGGAGATAACAGGAAGAGTTGCATAGCCATTATCAAGGAGGCATAAGCAATATTCTATGAGTAGAGTCAAGGAGATCCAGCATTCATCATCCTAGGCAGGAAACAATGTAACACAGGTTACATCTACGCCAGCCTAATAGATGAAGAAGGGGTTCGAGGCTGGTTAGCAATTTTTCTGCTTACCCCTAAAGTCTTTGCCTAGAAGGCCTTCTACAAGACAGTAGCAGGATGCAGTTAACATCTGCCCAAGATGAGTATTTTTATCGAGACACCATCTCTAGCCTTTACTCAACGAAGAGCCCCAAGGCAGGGGATGTTTAGCTGGATGCAGTTAACATCTGCCCAAGATGAGTGTTTTTATCGAGACACCATCTCTAGCCTTTACTCAACCAAGAGCCCCAAGGCAGGGGATGTTTAGCTGGATGCAGTTAATATCTGCCCAAGATGAGTGTTTTTATCGAGACACCATCTCAAGCCTTTACTCAACCAAGAGCCCCAAGGCAGGGGAATTTTTAGTCGGAGTTTATTTCTCCTAGCCTTTGCATAAGAAAAGCACACTCTGCAAGGCAGCAGAGCTTGTGGCAGGTGGTACTGGGTTACGTGATACCAATATCAAGATTGATCTCGATTATCCTGACCTGACCTGGACCTGACCTTATATTTAATTATAAATCTTATATGACCTGACCTGACCTGACTTATATCTTATATGACCTGACCTGACCTGACTTAATTATATATCTTATATGACCTGACCTGGACCTGACCTGGACCTGACCTGGACCTGACCTTATATTTAACTATATATCTTTATTTATTCATTATTATTATAAAAACAGTTACAACTCAAATTTTATTTGTGCTTTAGTTCGCTTACATTTTTACAGAATTTAATTTTTTTTTCTTTTTCCTTTACTTGTTTTAAAGAGTTTTTCTAAACCTTTCATTTTTTTTTACTCGCAGTTTTAAACGCCAAAGATTAGTGCGCTGATATTTTCTTATCTATTGTTCTATTCGATAAGTTTTGAGAATAATTTTTCTCTTTTTTTTCTCCGATTTTTTTTGCATTTTTTTGTCTCTGACAAAATCTAAAACTTATTTATTAATTGATAAATATATTTACGGAAACTTATCACTATATATTAGGAAAATTATTTTATTTTTGATACATATCTACGAAAGAAATATATATTGTTTCTATATACACATATACAAGTTTATATATATGTGTATGTACATATTTTGTTACTACTATTTTTCTGCTGTAAAACATGTCCACGAAAATAAAACTGGTCAAAGCCAGTACAACCCCCATCACTAGTCTATATGAACCTAAAGAATTTTCAAGCACAGGACCCGGTAAAACAGAGCAACTAGGCTGTATAATGTTTGCAGAGTTTAAAGTTGTAAAAGCAGTCGTTGCAATTCTAGAAAACAAAGTCCTGACCTTAGAAGCAGAAAACGAATCCTTACACAAATCTCTTAGCGAACTAAAAAAACCTCAACCAGTATCATTCTTATCACTCTTCAACAACAAATCTAATGAAAGTAAAAATGATCAGAATCTATTTTTAAATAAAGTAGCACATGAGCAGAAACAAAGACAGCAAAAAGAATCAAGTGTAATTGTAGTGGGACTGGAGGTCTCAGTCAAATATGACGAAAATAAACAGGCAGCCGAAAATTTCTTTAGAGCTGTTGGTATCGACACTCCAGTTATTGTGAGAGTCAGAGGTTTTAATCATAAAAAACTCGACACGGAAATCAGAAAAACCAAGCTCATGCAGGTCACAATCAAAGACCCTGAATCGCATGCCATAGTCTTGTCGAAAGCCAGGCACCAAAGTCTCGTCACACCTGAGTATAAGGATGTGTTTGCTAGAGAAGACCGAACGGAGGCAGAACAGCACGAATTCAACAAACTGAATCGCGAAAAAAAAGAACAAAATAATGAACTCGCAAATTTAAAGCTGTTCGACTCGCCATTTCGTTTCGTTATCCATCGACGCCTTAACTGTGTTAAACCAATTAACGCACAAGAGTCAACTGCTCACAAAAGATCAGTCTTTGTCAACATCAAGATCGTTGGAGACGCAATTGCTAATGCCTCAAAATCAAATTTCACAACAAATGTCATTAATGGAAGTTCACCCCCCACCCCAGCTAGAAAAAACTCAACAGTCTCATTCTCAACAATTCCAATCGTTACAACCACCGAGCGTCAATCTTAAAAGAAAACGTCCAACTCGAAAATCACCATTAATTCGACATTTTCCTGTCATACCTCAGCAGCCCGAGCTACCTAAAACTTACTCAGTAAAAGTTCTCAGTAACATCAATTTTTGGGCAAATAATCCATGCTCACTAAATCAAACAAAAATTGACGAGTTGAAAGCCAGAATACAAGCAACCATTTAAATCATTAATATACTTAAAAAAGAAGTGGACCAAGAATAGAACCCTGTGGATATTTATTTTTGAGACTAATAGAAAGTAATTCTTCCCCATAGACGAATTGCTTCTTATTTAACAAGTAGCTTTTGTACCATTTTATCAGTTTATCACTTATTTAATAGAATTCCAGTATTTTAAGTAAAATATTGTGATTGAATGTGTCAAGAGCTTTTGATAAATCTACAAAAACACCAAGTGTATATTGTAATTTACCAAAAGACTTTGAGACTTTACGTGTAAACTGAACAATGGCTTGTTCAGTTGATCTATTTTTTTTAAAGCCGAATTGGTTTTTATATAGTAAACTATTCGTAATCAGGAAGTTTTATGTCTCTTCGTAAATAATTTGTTCTAAAATATTTGAAAACGTGAAGAGGACAGAAATAGGGCAATAGTTATTAAAATTTAATTTTTCACCGTCTTTGAGAATCGGGATAACTTTTGCAATTTTAATTGGTCAGGAAAAACCCCTTGTTGTATACATGCTTTGAAGACTTTAAAAAGAAAACCTTACAAGTTTTCATAGCAATCTAAAATTATATCTCTATTTATTCCGTCCGCACCGATTGCTTCGTTTCTTTTTAGAATTTGAAGGCTTTTTCAACTCTTCAATTGATAAATCATATATTCAAGACCGTTCCGAAGACAAAACATGGTACATGGGACGGCCCTAGGTTGGGACTTGGGACGGCCCTATTTTTGTTCTTGGGACGGCCCATATATATGTTTTTTTGTATTTGTGTACTTTATGAAAAATAGTATTTGTTAAACTGATAAAAAAAAGTTGAAACTTCTTTAAATTAAATTATTGTGCAAGAAAATTCTACTTAAAAAAAGATTAATGGCAACAAACCAAAATTTAGTTTATATATATATATATATATATATATATATATATATATATATATATATATATATATATATATATATATATATATATATATATATATATATATATATATATATATCAGATACATCTCCCAGATACATCTCCTAGATACATCTCCCAGATACACCTCCCAGATACATCTCCCAGATACACCTCCCAGATACAACTCCTTTGTACTTTTGCGACAAAATTTAAATCCGCTACTAACCCAAATATACGATCACTATAATTTCAACAACAATTTTCGTAAAAATATAAATCAAATATTATAAAATTGGTTTTAATATAGTAAAACGTTTCTCGTGATTTGGAAACGTTTCTCTTGATTTATTTTAGTTTATTTTTATTACATATTATATTATTATACTATATAATGTAATGCGGAAAAAAAAAACGAGCAAAAACAAACAAACAAATAATCAAAATAAAGCGCGAACATGTTTTTAAAAATACAGAAAAATAAAAAAATAAATCATGCATAATTTATTCTCTTTTAAAAATTGTATTTGAGTAAAATAACTGCATATTTAAAAACTGTTAAATAAACTAGAAACTTTTGAGTACCTGAAAATATCTTTTTCGTTTTGAAATAAGTTGATAAGCAATTGAATAATCAAATTTTTTAAGACATACTAATATAGTACTTTAAAAAACAGTCACATTAAAAGTTCCCATAAAAACTAAGCTCATTGTCTTTCAACTACAATCAGCACTTTTCTGGTTGCCATAGTTGCTCATGTGCTGTTTCAATTAAGAAAAAATAATTTGTCTTTGGTTACGATTTTCTCATTTTAGCTGATTTTGTGGCGTCTGGAACTTTTGTATTTTTTTTTTAATCGTTTTTGATATTATTTTATATTGCATTTATTTTTTATTATGCTTTAATGAAAGTATTCAAAAAAATTTCGGGTCGACGCAGAACAAAAAAAAATTTTCGGGTCGCTGCAGAACATTCCGTCCGATAACCCTAATTTTGTTTAAATGCTTTTTATGAAACATTTCTTTAACAATTAATAAAAACATAAAGACAGGCCATTATTTAATTGTTGTCTTTTATTTTTATTTTTATTTTTTTCATCAACGCAATTTAGAGTATAACTATTTTCACCATCTTGAGTATAACTACTCCGCATTTTTGAGTATAATGCCGATTTTCCATTCAAGTATATTTTTTCGAAATTTCCGCGCTGAAAAATACTTTGAGCATGCGCAATTAGTGTTAAATAAGCAGGTTTTTATGGTAGCAGACGCGCATCGTACTTTTCTTTGTCGGATATTTGTTTTAAAGCGGAAACAGTATTAATAATTAGTAAAAATTATTTTCTATTGGTAATATAATTTTTTTTAGAAAAATTCAAAAATTAGCATTATTCTGCGAAAAAAACTTTCTGTTTTCAAATTTTATTTATCAAATAAACGGATTAACACAAAGACATTGATGATCTATAAATGTTTGTGTGCTACTTTTTGTTTAAGAGAAAAATTTTAAAAAGTCTTTACTATAACAAACTTCCGTTAAGAAAGTTTTTTTTATTTTTTGCTCACCTTTTTAAATTATAGTTTCTAAATTTTATTATTTTTATATTTTTATTGTATATTTTTATACAATAAAGAGTATATTTTTATTTAAAGTTTATCAATATAAATTATAAAAAACAAATAAAATTTTGTACGCAAACAATTTCTTTTCAAATTTTTTATTTCTAAACTTAAATAAAAAACAAATAAATACTTTTTTTGGAAGAGAAATACTTTAAATTAAAGAAGAAATATATTTAGTTTAATATTTTATTTCCATTTTATAAATTCAACGATCATATTTCTTTTAATTTTTAATAAATGTAAATTGACTCTGATTTAAAGTGGAAAATAAAAATTGCAGCAAGTTTTTTTGTCTGAAGGAACTTAATTATAAATCACATTTTAGTATTAATAAATCACATTTTAGTACTTTGGCAATAAATGCCAGTTTTCTAACTCAAATCCAAGCCATAGATCCCCACACTATAATATTGCCACCGCCAAATTTTACTGTGTCTTTCATACAACTCAATTTATACGCTTCTTATTTCTTATGTACTTTTTTTTAGCTCCATCAAGGACTTCATATTGAATTTAGATTCATCACTTCATAAAATTTTTTTCCAGAAATTAATATCCATGTTTCTGTACTTTTTAGCAAAATCCAATCGGCGTTTCATATGATTCTTTGTCAAATATGGCTTTTTACGAACATGTCTTTCTTGGAAACCAGCATCCTTGATCCTGTTACGTATTGTTCGAGGAGTGATCTTGATGCCGTATTCATTTTCCACCTTTTTAGCTAATTTTCTGGCATACTGGAATCGATTCTTTTTGATTTGTTGGAAAAAAAAGGATGGCGCAAGAAATAAGAAGCCTATAAATTGAGTTGTATGAAAGACACAATAAAATTTGGCGGTGGCAATATTATAGTGTGGGGATCTATGGCTCGGATTTGAGTTAGAAAACTGGCATTTATTGACTCAAAAATGGATGCTCTATTATACAGAGAGATTTTCAAAAATAATCTCAAGTCTTTAGCTCGAAAACTGCGACTATGCAATAGTTACATTTTCCAGCAGGACAACAACCCTAAACACACCGCTAAAGAGACAACGAAATGGCTCACTGATAATAGTGTGGAAGTGTTTGAATGGCCCGCACAAAACCCGGACTTAAACCCCATCGAACATTAGTGTGCTATTCTTGACAGAAATATTTTTAGATCGGTCACTCAGAAAGAAAAAGGCTGAAAAAATTATGCCAGAAAAAACAAAAAGTTTGGTTGAATCAATCCCAAGACAATGTGAAGCTGTTGTCCAGGCTAAAGGTGGACCCACCAAATACTAAAATGTGATTTATTAATACTAAAATGTGATTTATAATTAAGTTCCTTCAGAAAAAAAACTTGCTGCAATTTTTATTTTCCACTTTAAATCAAAGTCAATTTACATTTATTAAAAATTTAAAAAAATGTGATCATGGAATTTATAAAATAGAAATAAAATATTAAACTAAATATATTTCTTCTTTAATTTAATGTATTTTTCTCCCAAAAAAAGTGTGTTCTTGAACCTCTTGAACAAAGGATAGTTGAGCGAAGTATTTCAAAAGATCACTTCGTTCTTAACCACGTCATAACAATTGAGTATTTTTCATTTTGTTTTTCCGCTAGTTTCTCCGCTAACCTTCTAACAAACCGATGATATTCTTTACCCATACCTCCATTTGTACCAAACACTAGTGGTGTCAAACTGCCATGTTCGACTTCACGAACTCGTTCGCCATACTCTTTTTTTTTTCCTTATCGTGTTTTCTGAATAGAGCAGCTATATCTTGATTTTTGTTGCTCATGGAATTGACATGCGTAACTCTTTCGTTAAAAAAATGCTGTCTGTCCATTTCGCCAAAAACCATTTGCTTTGATATCCAAACGAGCTTGGTTACTTTTATTTGCTGTATGGAAATAAAAATTCTCATTATCAAGGGGTATGAGGTGTGGTTTGGATTGAACATTTATGCAGAATTTTAAGCAATGTTGTAAACAAATTTCTTATGTTTTCATGACAACTTGAAATGAAGCCACCTTTCTTACAAGACAATGCATGATTTACATTGAAAGGTTTTCCTCATTCACAAATACGAGGGATATTTTTCAAGTCAAAATTATAACGTAAGCAAAGTGTCTCGAAATTCTTCTTTATTTAAAACAAAGCCTTGGTTTTCTAGCGGTAAGGCGTTTAACCAGGTGTTTGCACATTCGCTTCTTGTTTGCTGTATGTTTTTTAACATAGAATCTGGTTGCATTGAATCAACTGCAATTATTTTCTCTTTGCGATGCTTAAGTCTGTCAGTAGATAATATTTTTTCAAGATCTTCTTGAACATTCCCGATAGAGTTTTTTGTTTTTAAAATTGTATCTTGATCTATAATTTGTTGTACAAATTTTTTAGTTAATTTCACAGATGATAAAAGCTGATGAGGCACTTCCTCAACTAGTCTAGGTATACCCAATCCTCCATCTCGGGGAATTAATGTAAAAAGTTTTCTAATGTGATCCTCAAAGGGCGTATCTTTTCCAAAAAGAGTTGGCAACAACAAATGACTAAGTATTTCGTCTATGGGCGCTAGATATTGTTCAAATTTTGGAATAGTTCTTTGGAAATATGTAAATTTTGAACGAAATCCTTTTGTAAACGCAATAAAAGCGGCCTGTGGTTGCGTCTCTGCTACTTTACAAAGTTGTTTTAACTCGGTTAACCATTTTGCTACTTTCTCAGTGAAATATTTGTTCTTAAAATTTTGCGAACCTATTACTGAACCCAAATGTCGTTGACCCTCTGTAGTTATGTTGACCGATTTACCAAATACTATGCCTGCACTCTCTGCTAATGAGGGGGATTTTACAATTAACCAGCATTTAGATTGGTTTACATAGTAGCCATGTTTACATCCTTCATCAATAAGGTGTTGATACCAGCTATGTAAGTTTGCAATGCTTCCACTAGCTGCAGCATTGTCTGCTAACCACTCCTGATTAACTTGTGGGAAATTTACAAGGAAGTGCTCTATAATAATCGTGGTGTTACAAGAGTACCATGGCATAGCAAGGGGATCACCTTGAGTTGTGCCTTCTTGAGATGATATTTCTTTACCCCCTGCCACAAAGAGCTTCGATGGATTTCGATAAGTATTTATTAAGTAAATTGAAATTAATGGACGAATGATCTGGATGTTGTGTAAGGCGACTAGTCGATTTATACAATTAAAAGCGTTCTTTGCGTTAATCAAAAGTATTGCATCTGTCTGCACATTGTCGAATATTTCCTTCATAGCATGTACAACCACTTCGGCTCCTGCCCCATGTTTTTAATGGCCCGGCTGTCTCTTTCATCTCACTGTTGAAGTTCTAGCTAATTACTTTACCTATGATACGTCTTAGTACTTCTCCTACTCCAATTGGCCTAATACCTGGATTTTTATCTAGAGGAATTAATCGACAAGCAGTGAAAGCTTCAAGAAATATTGTTTCATATGTTTCTGTTAGTAAGTTTTGTGTCATCTTAGCAATTTCTTTTCAGAGTTCTTTAACTTCTTTGATGAAGTTTTTAGAACATAAGATGCGGCGATAAATATCGGAATCCATCCCTGATGGTTCAGCAGATCTTTTCGTTGCAAATGCTGCTTTCATAACTAGTTGCTCATCAATACAATCGAAGAAACATTTTGGGATTAAATCAGTTAGACCAAACGGTAAGCTGTAATCTTCTACTCGCGAGGGTTTAGGGTGTTTGCTTTTAAAGTTCTTTAACGTGTTGTCCGATAGTGGTAATATGCTGGATGATGCCTCTTTTTCTAAAAATTTCAGCGCTGCAGTGATTTTGCCTTCCATAATAAATTTGGCAAATATTCTAGATATATCCTCCATAGATATTTTATTTTTGGAGTTTACAAATTTTTTTTTTTATATTTTGAACTTCTTTTAACAGTAAACCGGTGTTTCCTTTTTTCCAAAGGTCAATCCTACGAGTTAAACATAATGTATATTCTTTGGACTTTGATTTGGCGGAGGGTTTTTGCAAAAAGAGATTCGGCATAATCATTGTAACTTTCAGCGCGATTGAATTTAAACTAGAAGTGGAATTAAATTTTTTTAACCAAAAGGTTAGCTCCTCTATAAATTCTTTACCTGCCTTTCCAGATGGAATGTTGAAAATATTTCTTCGGTAATTTACGATCTTATAATAGGTTGAATCCACAAACAATTTAAATTGTTGATATGAGTATACTCCT